CCACTACGACTGACCTCCGCAACCGCACTTCTTTGGATACTGACTGAGCCCAGATCAGCATGTGCCTCATCGGGGGATATAATACGTACGAGGATTCGCTAGCGTGACTTGTGCGTGGGACAGAGCTCACTTCCTCGAGTTGCTTAATACTACAAAGTAGTGATCAGGCAATAACGGAAAATGTGCTGGCTTCGTGCGAGAACGTGGATTACCAGCAAAAAAAATTTGTCTCACCAACCTTACAGACTTAGCAAAAGGCCAAGGTTAGGAACATCACGTTTTATCGCAATATTTGCCTTTTCTTAACCATTAGTAAGTTTCTCTCTATCACCAGGTAATCTGTAGTTAGTGTTATCTTTTTTTTGTAGAAGTAATCGACATGATTATGTGCTTGAAGCTGATGTTTGCATCGTTGTCACAAAAAGGTTCTTGTACTTACCAAATAACTTTCCTGAGTTTTACCCAACATGACTAAGTTCCAAGTGTGGAATGATAGGATATACCTGCCGGATTATACATACAGGAACGTTTTCAATCGATCCAGTAATATAATATCTGCTGGGTTGGTGCAAAAGTGCCACCGAAGACAAAGCTTTCAAATATGGCGCCCCAAATTTGCGCTTTGAATTGATGCCGGAAAATCACAGAGGTTAGCTAGCGCAAAAAAAGGTGTAAAAATCTCTTACACAGCAAAGTCCATACGTTACTTAAGCAGGCTTCACTCTTGTAACGCATAAACAAGAACTTCATGAAAATTGTCATTTTACGCAGAAAATCACCTCGTTATTGCATTTTTCCAACAAGAACGCCGTTTTTCGCAAAAAGGGTAACAGTGTTCTAGAGTTCCAAAGTGTCTTTGTGAAAAAACTGCAGCAAAGGGGGCATTTTCCTGTAAAATGACACTTTAATCAAATTTTTTGTTTTTGCATTTCCAGGCAATGAAGCCTGCCCAAGTAGCGTACGGACTTTTGCCGAGTAAGAATATTTATACATTTTTGGGCTAGTTAGCGGCCTTCCGCGATCTTCTAGCACCAAACTCAAAACCGCAAAATTTGAAAAGCCATTTCTTGATCGACTATCGCAACAGGATTGCGTTTTTTTTCGACGCTATCAGAAGCTTCCTCGTACTCAACAAAGATTGAAAACACAGGCAGTGGTCCTTTCTGCGAACATCTATGACCCTTGAAACTGTGCGGGTGGACCATGCAACGGAATTTCTTATCAACATGTATGTAGTAACATGTATGTATTAACATCCCTGCGATGAGGGAAACGGCGTCTCCAATAACCCCGCAACGGCGTCTGCCCGCGGCTCCTTCATAAAGGGGGACGCCGCTTCCGCAAGGATGTTAATGCATACTAGCTTAAGATCCTCACGTTCGCCCTTCTTGCAGACAAGAACGGTCCCTGAGATTCTCCACTTGTTGGGTCATCTCTGGTCGGCAAGAATCGGGGTCTGGCCTTCTTTGGGCAATACTGCGGGCGGTACGTGATATCAGCAGAAATCCCATCGGCACTTCCTGAGGCTTCGCTTTGGCGGCTTCCACCATCTTCATTGACTGTACTTCTGAAGATCTTCGTCAAAAGCTGTTCTGCAGCTCGCGTTTGCTATTAGTTGCCCGGGATGGGTTGCATTCGTTTTGCCGGGCTTTTCGTCTTTCGAGCATCCCTCAGTGTGTTTAAAATGTGCTCCAAGTTCTTTTAAGTTGTCAAGCCTCCTTTCAAAGGATGTTGTAGACGTACTTTGGATTCTCCTCGAGGTCATATCATACTTGTTATAAGCTCCTCCAGCCTGTCACCGTCATCATTGATCCCTTTATTCTTGCAACTATGGCAGATCTTCTTTTTCGGCTTTTAACTAAGTCGGACTTTCGTCGAAGGAGGCTGTGATAGTGCCACTGCAGAAGAATGGGACTGACAATGAAGCATCGGTAAGCCAAACATTCGGTGGGTAACGATGTGGTCGATCTCCGCATGAGTCGTTGAGTTGGGCGAAATCCCATGTCCACCGTATGCTTTCATCATAAAGATGGAGTGTTCATGTAGACTTTTGCTGTTTTTCCGGGGCCCATATCCAATTCTCCCGATCCTATATTCCTTTTCTAGTGGCATCCTGATTTTCGTAGGATAGGTAACCGTTGCAATAGGATCTCATGCGAATTGGCCATGTAGACGATCTTGATGGAATTTCATCCTCGCGAATGACAAATTTTCTCATCGCGAATGGTGAGGGTCCTATATTCAATTGTCGTACGTCTTTCTTCCTGGTGTGTCCTACAGAGCGATGACATGGCATTTGACGTGCTCTGCAGCATCGAGAAGAGTGTGGAGGTCGGCGTTTGTGGAGAATGTGCTGGCGTTATAGGTAGAGCATGAGGCACCATGATGTGTCATCGCAGACGTCGTTTTGACCGATACAAATGGCGCCCTCAGCCTGACATCGATCTTATTACCAGCCGGCGCCTTGGGTGGGATCCGAGCAGGGTCTATTCTTGCTGAACGAATTAATGCTTTTACTCGACAAGAGCGGACTTATCAGGCCGCCATCCAGAGGGCGATCGCTGACCCTAGTACGTGGAATGGGGACCACCAGCGCCCCAGCGATGCAGCCGAAGGCGGGATCATCCAACTTCCGTAATGATGTAAAATTGAAAAAGAAGAAAGTGGAGTGTATGCATAATACGGTTTTATGTTTTGATTTGATGATAAGATTTCGTTAAGATTCGCGGAAAACTTCAACAATCCGGGAAGATTTCCTGAATTGCAACTAATGTCTACTTATTCCATATGGTGCATTGCATGCTTTGGGCAAAGCGATCGTGCTAACGATCTTTGAACAAAGCATGCAATGTACCATATTGAATAAGTAAGCATTAAATAAAATGACACGCTATATGACATTGAGTAAAATATAGCCCCTACACACTATACTTGGGTAAATTCGAAAAGTTGATCCATTCATAATCAACACCCTCATATCCCCTATACCAACTAGCTTAAAAGTTTCCAAAAATCGGTGAAATCGATAAAACAGATTAATTTTAATCAGCACCTTCATTTACCCCGTTTACCAACTCCCAGCCACGAGCTCAAGATTTTCAAAAACTGATAAAAGCATCAGAGTTAATGTTTATTCTATTCAGTACCCTCATTTACCCCCCCCCCTCCACCCCTCTACCAAACTCCCAGCCTTGTAGCTCAAAATTTTCTAAAAATCGATAAAATCGACAAAATAAAATTTTATTCATAATCAGCACCTCCCTTACCTCCTCCCCCCCCCCTCTGTACCAACAATGTGCACCTTTCTCGTCCGGCTTTAGCATTTACCATAGTTGATAGGCTGATAACTCCCGGTGTTAAAGTGCCTGCAAGCCTTCGTGGAAATCTTGGATGCACTGTGGTAACAGAACTACTGTATAACTAACTGTATCATGTACTATCTACTGAACAAAATTTTATTGCAAGGTGATACAACTGCAAAATTCAGCAACCATCTAATCCTCCACTACAGCTGTAATGTTCCTTACTCAAAATATACTAATTCGCGAAAATTCTCTAAGGTAAAGAATAGACACAGCTGTGCAGCTTGAGTTTTACAAGCAAGAGTGCTCAGTAGTGTAGACCTTTGCGTACCTAAAGCATGAGCAATGGAAAGAAAGAGAAACAGGCATGTCAACCATTTCCAGTATATGAGTTCGAGACATGAGCTCGAATTTGATAGCTGTTTTTTTTGCTAATTTGGTGTCAGTAGCAGTGCGAACTATCTCATTGATCGAAAAAGCTTGAATTGAAATCCACAACTTTTTTTACTGTTGCAAGCAGTCGGATGAAAGCGACTTTCCATACAGTTTAAAGCTCATCACTATTGCAAAATGATGCATTACCGAGTTTTGCGAAAAACGCGGACGAAGTGAGCTTGATACTTAGCAAGGAATGATCAGAACTCAACCCAGCCATACCAAACAGGCTGTAGTCATCGGACTCGTTTTGAAACACTGATTTTAAATATATTTTATTATCTGCTAAGCGCCTATCTGGGAGAAGTTATGAGCGTTGAAATATGCGATCTATCAAGTGTTTTGTGGCGCATATTCCATGAAATAGGTTTCAAAAGCACTTATCTAGGTTTTAAGTAGATGTGCCTCTTCCTTGTAATTAAAATAGCCATAGCCATGTGGATCGCGCCATCGGGTTGCTTTTCAAGGAAATGTATTCGTCTAAACTCGAAGAATTTCTCATATTTGAACGTTCATAACTCCTCCCAGGTTTGAAATCAGCGTTTTAAGACGAGTCCGATGATATACATCTTGCTTGGAATGGCCGGGTTAAGTTCTGAACATTTCCTCGTTAGCAGTTGGCTCTGCAATAAAGTCGAATAATCTGAGTACGGAGTTCATTCGAATACGAATTTGAATAAACATTCGATTGAAACATTCGGATAAAATCTATCCGAAATCCCGTTCTTTGATTATTCGACTTTACGAATTTTATTCGAAATCCCGTTTTTGATTATTCGAGTTTTCGAATTTTATTCGAAACCCTGTTTTTTGATTATTCGAGTTTCGAGTTTTACTCAAAACCCCCTTTTCTCAGTTATTCGAGTTCCGAATATTATTCGAAAATGGAAAATCTCCGATTATCGAATTTCGAATGCGAATATGTTTGAATGTTTTATTCAAATGATCGAATTTCTATTCGATTCGGACCCAAGTATACTACACACTGATAGCCGGCAGAGCAGATCTGACGGCTATCAGTGCGTAAGGGCTTCATGACACGCAAAGACTGTGCGCAGTTGCGTTCGATCAAGATAATTCGTGCATAGAGGAGACAGCAGATGGTGAGAGAAACGAAAGAGCGCTGAATCAGAGAGACGCCGACACGTACGCAGTCTTTGCGCGTTATGAATCGCCTATATTTTTCTGATTTATCTAATGACATTGTGAACATCGACAAAAATCGTGCTAGACAAGACTATGTTGTCTTATCTTTCTTTTCAGTACCTCCACCATGAAATCACTGTTCGTATGGAAACAACTATGAAGAGAGGAATGATTCGTGTTCTGTTTCGCATAGAGGAAGCCGTAAGAGACAATGTCTTCAGAGTGGTGCTCGAACCGCTCGTGCAGTACGCACCTAGATGTTACGCAAAATCAATATTCAGCGTATGTAGATGTTTATCAAATACTCAAGCTGCCAACACGTGACGAGTACTTGAAATTGAATAAGAATCTTTGCTTAATGCTTTTACAAAATTGGTGTTGACATGCTCTCGGACTTTGAACCATTAGGCATCTGTACTTGTTTATGATTCGTTTTATTGTCAGCTCTTGAATTTCCCTCAATGTAATTGTAAGCTCAAAGCTTCACTGGCAATCAGTCTGTGTGAACTTTTTGAATCGCCCTGAAATCTACACTATGAATGGAGCAAATTGCTGCAAGTGTCACAATATGCTTTCCTGGGATCTTGATAGCAACTATTCGAGACGCACGCCATATTTGTCCACTTCAATCACTTCATCTGCTTCTAGACAATGTGGTTACCCTTTCGGACCTGGTGGTGGCAACTGCCACATCAATTCAGAGATAAAGTTGTACTGCCGCAAGAAAACCATTTTATTACTCATAGCTATAAAACGCTTCATATAGCCTTTGCCTTCCAAATGTAGCTTTGAAACCGCTTGTTCATTTGTTTTCCTGTCTGCAATACACACATTTCTGTACACAAGTGGATTGCAACCAATCAGTACTTCGCGCCAGCTTCAGCACTGTTTCAGGATCTCGTTTATTAGCCAAAAAATAATCATAATATTATCAGGATGTTCGAGTACAATGTTGAGAAAGTGTAACTGTTGATTGTTCGCGGGTCCACATGTACTGAGGGAAATTTGAGAATCCAAAAACGCAAACCCAAAAATTCAAAAAATCAAAAAGAATTACTTTATGTAGTTGAAAAGAATTCAAACTCCGTCGTGAAGTTATTCATGTGGTAGTAAGTATAAAACAGTGGGAGAGAGGCTTCTCTGCTTACTCGGAAAAATCAGGTCCGAAAAGGGTTAACGATGCCGCGTCTTGGTGTCGAAGTGGATGAAATGGATAAGTATGGACATGCAGAGACACCTACGCAGATGCTGTATTTTCACAATCTGCCATTCATCTTGTGTTTGTACGAATAGATGTTGCGCCTGAATAGTTGAAATGAGTACTTTGCGAAGGCACAAAGAATATATGCCGTCCTTACCTGTTGCATCAGCATCAAGTTTTTCATACTGCAAATAAGAGCAGCATCAAAGGCAAAATAAGTTGTTAAATTTTCATTCCAAAAAAGCGCCGTTATTCCGATTAAGCGTGGTATATGTCAATCTCTCGAGTTGTAATCTGGTCCCATTTATAGTCACAAGCTAGCATGCGGCTGAACGCTTTGGAATGTATCTCGTGCGCCTCTCCTTGAAGGTCGTTCCATACTTTCGCGCCGACCGCACGAACCCCTTCAACCGCACTGACCGCACGAACCGCTCTAACCACACTGACCGCAGCAGCTGCAGCACAAAAATGCAGCTATGTTTTCAATGGATTGCTGCTACTTTGTCTTCTTTACCTCTGCTACTACTTTGTCTTCTTTACCTCTACGGGCAGTATTCAAATTCGGCAACATTTGCAGTGTAAATGAGTATAGCTTTCGTTCGATACTGTGCTGGCTCTGTTATATGTGGTGGAAAGATTCTGGAGGTTTTTGAGCATGTTTGTGGAGTTAAAGGCAGTGGCACGGTAAAACTGCGACTGCGAGCTTTTCACACGAGCCTACATGGTCTTCTGGATGCGTTGAGTCCATTGCCGCTTGAAATGTAAAAAAGTTACGCCGTTTTCACCCTGGAGATAGCTGGAAAGCCAACATCGCAATTGGCTGCCTGATCCGATCAGCCAATCACCGCCAGTGAATGGAGTTACAGACTCCTGCAGCCAGTCACTATTAACACATTGACAACCATGCAGATCTTTAGTTGTCTGCCTTTTGGGACCAAGGCCTTTTACAAACCAGCTCACATTTTTCAACTATAATTATGCATACTGCCATCTACAGTACACCTACAGTAGATTTGAATGGCTGACAAGAAAGGTAGAAGTCATCTCTAGATTCAGTGCAAAAGAAAGCTCGAGGAGTAAGTTTATCCCAAGATAGCAGTAATTTTTCTGAATACTCAAGTTGACACACATGGTGTGTCAAGCGGTCCCACGCGGTAGTCAGTCACCATGTGTGTCAAGCAATCGTCAATGTGTCAATGGCGAAAATCCCTCGCCCATCCCCTCCAACTATCTCCATGGTAAGAAAACGCCGTAAAAAGCACTTTTTTGACCTTTCAAACACAGTACCGGACTAGGCGCATCCAGAAGGCCATATAGGTGTGAAAAGCTCGCAGTCGCGATTTTCCCGAGCCTTTAAGTACTTCGTCTTCCTGTTGTTGTCCTTGTTCCTTAATAAATGTTGCTCGGAGACATATAGTCTCCTACCCGAGAACGATACACTTATGCTCACCAGCCTTCTACTACTGTGCCAATAAGCACATGTCGACCGACTTAGTAACTGTAAGGCTTTGACATTCACACCCGGAGTCGTCGCACTCCGATCTGCGCACTCCGGCTACACTAAAACCTAGTCAGCCGTCATATTCATGTAGTGTTGTGGTTATTAGGTCTTACAGTAGCCTGAGGCGTAACTCCTTTAGTATGTTGAATAGAACACGAAAGCAATAAGCTTTATTGAACAGGCTGTACAAGTAAATGCGTTGGTAGAATAATAAGTATGGTAGGCGTGGCAATGTACGTTAGTAAGCATCTGGCCAACAAACATACCCTTTGATTCAGCAGGATTTTTGGCTGAAAGACGACCACTCGCGCCAGCATCGGAGTTCCTCTCTCGCGAGCCTGCTCTCTGATCATTCACTAGCCTTAATTAGGTCTTGAAGCGCCGCCTTCCAGCCGCCAATCCAGTTAAATCAAAGGATACTTATCATTTGATTCAACTGGCTTGGCTTGGGGAAGGCGGGGCTTCGTGACCTAATTAAGGCTAGGTAATGATCAGAGAGCACTCGCGCTAAAGAGACGCAGGTGCGTCGCGGTCGCGAGCGGCCTCAAGTAGTTCACAGAGGTCCGCCTTCCCGAAGCCAAGCCAGTTGAATCAAAGGGTATATCATAGAAGGCCATCATCATGGCATGACCTTTACGTTTGAACAGCAAATATTATGCAACAAAGAACGTACCGACATTATCGGTACACGCGGCAGCATATCCTCTCGCATTCCTTCTTATAGCATGAACCGACAAGCGATGCACAGCTGTTCGGAGTCAAAAACCACTTGCGAGCTGCTATACATTATACATTTATTCATCCTCAGCGGTTATATACAATTAGTACCGCGATGATTCCGTTTATGGCTTGAGTTGGACGATTTCGGCTTCGATCGTCTTCGTTGACAAGAATATTCTTGCTCGTGTCAATCAGTGCATTCGTGACGTTGCGCTGTCCATGACTTCTCGACCAAGTAGACGTAGTGGACCAGCCACGGTTTCTTCCACCTTGTCTTCTTGGTCCTATCCTTGGTAGATGGTATAGGTCAGAGCTAAGGGCTAGCCGACCGTTTGCGGGAAGGATGAGGAGAGAAGTGGCGAGCTGCTATAGCAAGCTTAACTTGGTTTTCTTCAGAAAATGTGTGTAACTCACGTACAAATATTGATTAGTTTGATTTTGGAAGAAAAAACATACTCGCAGCAACAGATTATTGAAATCATTCTGCATTCTTATGCTGCGTCTGCTGCGGACAGTGCAGTCGGTGCAGTCAGTGCGGCTGTATAAAACAACCGGGTCAAGCGTGGGGTGTGGCACCCCACACATGGGCGTTCGTATTGTGGGGGACAGAAGGGGGGGGGGGGGGGTTATCAAGGTGATACTGATGTTAGCAATAACACGATATTCGTTTAAAATGCCAAATAGGCTCAGTGTCTAGCACATTAAAGTCTTGGCCTACCATCGTTTACGTACAGTAAGCATGATAAAAGAGCCCTAAAAGCATAAGGGCATTGTGATAAGCACGACAAATAGCCCCTATGGGTCAAATGTTAGCGAATTCTGAGGTTTTCAAATCCTGGATCATCCAAGCGAGATGGTTATTTTTGAACATGTCAACTTTGTTTCAAAGGTGAGTTAACTAATTCTTTTCAAATACAAAGAACTACTACTTCTTTGCATACATTAAAAGTCCTACTTCAAACAATCTTCAAAGTATGGAATTAAAGGCAGTGACTCGGCAAATCTCAACCTAGTCAAATTTGCGCTTACCTGGGGTTATTCAAACGCTGATCCCGAAAATCCACGTTAAAAGCTTGAAAACGGCGAAAATTAGCGTTTTTCAATACCCTTCCCTTTGGAATTGGACGAGTGGAGCAAGGCTGATGACGCCAAACCGTTGCAGGACCCAATGGTTATAGCATTGCGGCGGGCAGCCTGCAATAGTGAGAAGGAAATTGTCAACTCGTCCGGATGCGTGTAAGATTGGCCTGCGCGAGTAAGTTTGAGAGCAATTTTCTCGGCAGAGAAAGCATGCTGTACAACCGGGATTGCACTGTTTTCATACTTGGGCGATAAGGAACCTACCGCATTAAAATCCTGAGTTGTTGGATTTTGCCGATCCACTGCCTTTAAGAGCAAGCCAAAATCTCATTCGTGCTATTTTTCGCTTTCAATATTCCAGAGACCTAGAGAATTCCAATCAGGCTCAAATCACTTTTGTAAGATTTACGAAGTTTAAGCTACCAAATACATTTATTCTTGCCGCCTTCCTCGCGATTTACGCGAAGAAGGCGGCAAGAATAAATGTAGTAGCGCAGACTTAGCATGTTACCGCAATCTAGAATTTTCGTAGTATTTTTCATTTGCATAGGTAGGGAAAAACCTATCTATTTTTTTCTATGAGAAACAATTTTTAATGGAATTCATGCTTATAGAAAAGAAGGTCTAGCAGTAGCAACATTATAGAAAACAAAAATATTTGCATGCTTTGAAGGTAAGTTGATAGGGTGTGGCACAGCCCTTAAAAAGGTGTGGCAGCCACAGCTTTTCTGGGATTGTGCCACATCCCATTGCCCGAAAAGAGAATTTTAACGAGCAGAACATATATAGTTCGATAGCCAAAATCTCGTATTTCTTATAAAAGGCGAAGGTGATCGCCTTCTTTCGTTTGAGCAGTACTTGCTGGAAGGACAAACGAGATTTTGGCTAGCTCTTAATTCCATAGTTTGAGAGTTATTTGGAGCAGGATCCATGGTAAGGGCAAAAAGGGAGTGGAGCTTTGTACTGAGGGCAAAAAGAAATAGCTAATTTACTCTAGAAACATAGCTAACCATGAAAGTGGCCGCTTCACGCGGATGGTCCAGTATTGGGAACCCTCAGAATTCGCTAAAAGTTGGCCCAATAAACACGATGATGTTACTGCTGATGGGGTCGTATCCTGTGGTTGTGTGTGTGCCACAACACCTCTTGCTCAATCCTGGAAACAACTCTCCCGGGCAGCGCCCAATCTCTCCAGATTGGATGTACTAGATGCAACTGCCAAATCCGAGCCACAAGCATAATTCTGTCCTAGAAATTCAAAAATTGAGAAAACGTTAGGGT